CTCTTTGTATGGCACTGTTGATTTTTGAACTACCGAGTTTGAGTACAGAACAACCACAATGGGCTTACTAACATAAAGTCAACATAAGACTCCTTTTGAATTTGTAAAGTGTATTTAAACAGGTCCTCTGTATTACTCAATTGCACTTCAAAACTGTCATCCACCGATGAATATGAATCAAAAGTTAATACTAAATGTGATATGGCTGGAAGACTTGGTGAATAAAGAGAAATGGCGGCTATATGCCAAACCATGAGTATCACTGCAAGCACATGATGAGATTTCCTTCTTTTTTCTACAATCTTTACTTTCTCCCTTGACCTTTAGTCCCTGCTCATTAGAGATGAGAAATGATGACTTTACCAGACTCCTTTCCTACTGCGCTGAGATAATTATCAAGTGTTTGATTTATATAACCCGAGGCGTTCGATTTCTTGAAAGCGCTAATAATGCTGACACTCGCTTGCTATTGAAAGCCATTCAATAGCTTTTGGCAGGGGTGTCTCAATCATAGTCATTTAAATGAATCCTACTGTTCAAAGCGTTAAGTCACTGCATTGGAGAGCTTTCTGGCACACATCTGCACAGTCAGCGGAAGTGGGAGCGAGATGATTGAGAAACACAAGATGATAGAACGTTTGACAAGCACAACCCTTGCAATGCTCAGATAAGTGAATGCGGCAATAGCATCTGTCAGATTTCAATGTGCACGCTGCTAAATGAGGATGCTGCTTAAAATGACGCTTTGGAATTTATGTAGGTGCTAACTGGATGATGTGGATTCAGTGGGGCGCATGTGGATGATAAAGAAATAACGCACCAGTAGTCCATTTGTTACCATCACCATCCCTTTACATTTGACCAGTCAGAATCACATATTCCAGAGAGTCACGTAATAATGAATAAAAATGGACATATAGGGGATTTATTGACTAGTGATGTTCAATACAAAAAGTCACTCATGTATCATTTCATCAGCACGGCTGATGAAAGAGATTAGAGACATTAGAGATTTCCACATTAGAGAATGTGTCTTTAGACTCAATTACAAACAAGAGATGCTTAATCCTCTTTATTTCAAACAAGGAGAGTCGCAGTAAAAAAAATAATTAATCAGTTTATTTGCTTTATTCTGTTTACTGTTCTCTTTGTATGGCACTGTTGATTTTTGAACTACCGAGTTTGAGTACAGAACAACCACAATGGGCTTACTAACATAAAGTCAACATAAGACTCCTTTTGAATTTGTAAAGTGTATTTAAACAGGTCCTCTGTATTACTCAATTGCACTTCAAAACTGTCATCCACCGATGAATATGAATCAAAAGTTAATACTAAATGTGATATGGCTGGAAGACTTGGTGAATAAAGAGAAATGGCGGCTATATGCCAAACCATGAGTATCACTGCAAGCACATGATGAGATTTCCTTCTTTTTTCTACAATCTTTACTTTCTCCCTTGACCTTTAGTCCCTGCTCATTAGAGATGAGAAATGATGACTTTACCAGACTCCTTTCCTACTGCGCTGAGATAATTATCAAGTGTTTGATTTATATAACCCGAGGCGTTCGATTTCTTGAAAGCGCTAATAATGCTGACACTCGCTTGCTATTGAAAGCCATTCAATAGCTTTTGGCAGGGGTGTCTCAATCATAGTCATTTAAATGAATCCTACTGTTCAAAGCGTTAAGTCACTGCATTGGAGAGCTTTCTGGCACACATCTGCACAGTCAGCGGAAGTGGGAGCGAGATGATTGAGAAACACAAGATGATAGAACGTTTGACAAGCACAACCCTTGCAATGCTCAGATAAGTGAATGCGGCAATAGCATCTGTCAGATTTCAATGTGCACGCTGCTAAATGAGGATGCTGCTTAAAATGACGCTTTGGAATTTATGTAGGTGCTAACTGGATGATGTGGATTCAGTGGGGCGCATGTGGATGATAAAGAAATTTTTACATCTCTGATTTGTTTTGAATTGTAGAATTGTAATAGTTGGGGCTTGGTAAAATATACACTATAAAATAAAATACAGATCTAATATTATATCAGATATTGCCTTTCCAATATACTTATAAATCACATAATTGACTCTTGAAACAGTGTTTCTTGCACTTTTTTTAAATATAAAAATCACATTAAAACTGTCTTAGAAACTTCAAAAGGTAAACAGCATGAAAAAAGTCTGCACACACACTCCACCAGAAATCATATGCAAAAAGTTTACTGAAATAGACAAGGCAAACGTTTCGGTCACATGTTGACCATTTTCAATGCCACACATGATCATGTCTTAAGCATTTATATTTGCTATGTTTTTTACTAAATTTTTTTGTGTATAGATTTTATTTTCCCAGACTCAGACTTTCAATAAAATGTGAAAATTCAGCATAAAAATATGAATGTTTACATGTGTACTATGATAAATCAAATCAAAGAGTGCAACAAACATGATCCATTTTAATATGTATTGTGTAAATGCACAATACTATCTGCTAAATAAATACATACATGTAAAAATAATTGCTATAATTTCATAATTTCGTCATTTCATCACACTGATCACTTTTTGAAGTGTACTTGGTTAAGGAGACAACCATGTCAGTGAAGATGAATGTGAGACTTGTGATGTGTGAAGAAAACAAAGGAAACCCAAGGTTAATATCACTTGAACCAAATTATATTGTGTTTCATTTCCAATCAAGCTATACATTTGTCAAATTATGCAAAGAGCGTGAAAACATTGTTTAATTGTGTGTATTTAGGATGCATGAAATGCTACCTTTGAAATTACCCTCAGCACGAATAAGGAGCTGGGGTTTATGGGCTTTGAGATGTGGTGGAAATTAGACTTTCAGACAAAAATGGCGTAATGTACTGTATGTATGAACGAATCAGAAAAGACTTTAATCTTAAGATGAACTTAAGATGTTTTATTTATGTAAAAGTATTGAATCAAGGTGGTAATGCTTGCACATTCATTTTGTTTTGTATGCTTTGTTATCTTTAATAGCCTCGATGTGATTTCTGTAAACAAAAGATATGTATAAGTTAACATCAAAGCATCTTTCCGGCCTCAGTCGGACCTCAAGCTCTCAGAACTATTGATGTTCTATCATGAAAGGTTTAGCCCTGGTTACGTGGATCATGATGTGGAAGATGGAAGATGTCAGGGATGAAACTATATTTAGCCCTCAGCTGGTGGGAGTGTGTTTGTGCTTATGGCAGGATTATCACTTGACAGTTTCAGTGTTGTCACCAAATCTTTACATCCCACATTTCAAGCACAGTTTATTGAAAAGGCTGCATTCCTTTTACATGTCAGTGGCAAATTAGATATTATGTAAATTCATTAGCCCATATCCTTTACATGAGTCAGTTAGGCGTGTGTTTGATAGTCATTAATGCACAAAAAGATGCGTCTGGCATACCTGTAGTTATTTTATTATCAATAGGCCTGTCATTTTGATGTGGTTTTTTTTCTATGTTTGTGGTTTATGAATTCATTAATTATAGAAACTTCCACTTAAGTTGATTTTTCTTTAGCATCTGTTGGGTTTATGATTTATGAAAATATGAAAACAATCCAATATGCATCACAGCTAGAAAAACATCATAAAATATCAAATAAAATAATTTTACTCAATTTCACTATTATACCACAATCAAAAGTCTAAGGACAAAAAGCAATGCAAATGTTCTATATCCATAGAATAGCTACAGTAGCCTATATACTAGTCTGTTTGTTTATCATCTACTGTTTCAGCTAGGCTACCTGAATAAATAAATAACGGGTAGTATACGGTGTATACAGTAGGAGGTATTCAGTAAACCAGTATTCAATTTTTAACAAGAGCCCAGATGTGAGTGTAAAGCTCTATGATGCCATCCAGTGTCCAGTCAAATGTACTGTATGTCATAAACGAATTTCAATTATAACATCTTTATTTTATTTTCTTGGAAACATGAAAGCCTTTAAAGACTTATTGCTTGTATATTCCAAGAGCAAACTGAAAGTAGTTTCTTCACATATTATTCGATGTGGTTGATATAATCTATTGGGAAGTGATGCACCTCATATCAGTTATAAAACCTTAAATGATTCACGTATTATTATATTATATATTATTATATTATATATTCACGTATGTCGTCTGATTTTCAAGTGTTCAAGCCTGACAATCTCTTACATCAAATTTTTAGAGTGTTTACAACAAAAACATGCCTCCCATTTAGTTAACTTGTTTCTTAAATGCAATTTCATCAATTGCCATTACTATTATCATTGAATAATGATCTATGGCGCGTTTATTTAAAAAAAAATGCATCTTATTTTTACTCTACTCGTCAACATCCGCAAAATTGACCTATTTTTGTGACTCCCATTTTCAGTAGCCCCTCACTGCAGAACACAAGATCCAGGGGGCGTGGTTGGAGCCACATCTAGGGGGTGGAGATTGGTAGGTTTAGGGGTGGAGATCATAGACATAATAAATACCTAGACGCCTCATTGGCCGCTTTGAGCCGTTGCTGCGATATGTCAATGCGTCCGCCATGTTTGTGAAGGCAAGACTGCCTTAAAAATAAATGGAGGTAAACGGAGGAGCTGCGGTTTTTTGTGGATAAAAACATGATAACGTTTACATTTATCAACCGATTTCAGAGGTTTGTGATCTACATTGAGTTAAAAATAACTCTGCCTCCAGTTATTTAGTTAGGTTTGGAAAATTATAAATTTTCGTAAGAAATTGTGAAAACACTTGTCTCACTTGTTGATTTGGTTGGGAGGAGTTGGATCTGGATCCAACCACGCCCCCTGGATCTTGTGGTCTGCAGTGAGGATCTCCCCATTTTTGGCCTGCCTCGCTGGCGTAAAACAGTATGGAGGCGTCGAGCTCACGAGCGGACCAATCAGATCGCTCGTTTCAGGGGCAGCCAATGAGGGAGGCGCTTCTTATCGCGCCCAGAAAAGCTCACGGCCGCCATGATGCTTGTTTGCCTTGCCTTCAGTGAGAAAGAGCAGCGGATTAGAAACAAAGGAAACGCGCACTCGTTTTTGTGAACTGGAATGAGTTTACAGGTAAATCTAATACGGGGTTGAGGCCTTTTCAAATGTATCTAGTGGTATGTGAGCAACGGAATATATTTTCTTTCGCATTGCTTTGCGTTTGGTGTTGGTCTAGTTTTGTAAATGTATAATCGCATGTTAGCCAGTTAGCCCATGAGCTAATTTGCTCAATCTGAATATAGAGGAAATGATGGATCGATAAGATTGTGATCTTTTAATTTGTATTAGCTGTGTGCGTGGGCGCTTTAAAGACTAAGATAGATTGATGAAATTAGCAACCAAGCGATGTTGAATGTTGAGATCTATGTTGTTGGTTATGTAAGCAGCCTGCTGTGTCCGTAGGAAAGCTACGTATGCTAACGCAGGTTTATTCTATATATTTATTAACATCGTAAAACTTAATTTACTTTTGATGGTTCCGGGCGATTAATATAGCACAAATGCACTTAAAAAGTAATGTGGTTTCCCCCAGTAAACGGATAACGCTCACATTGTAGGGGGTCCGATCAAACTAATTCAGCAAATCTGGGGACAAGTACATATTACGATCTAAAGCCAATTAATTTCCTAATTACGTGTTCTTAATTGACTCATTAAGACGCCTTGCAGGTTGCCGTTTTCTCAGTGTATTTGACTCGCACGGCTAGCAGCCTTAAGTTAGCTCTGTAACGTGGCTCTGGGAAATAAACACGAGGTGGTGGTGTTTTTGTTTTGGTTCCGTTGCACAGCGATGATGAAAGACCAAAAACGAACCGCATCTGGCCCGTTGGTTAACTGATTAGTTAGCGATTAACGCTGCAGCTATGTAATCGATATATACTGGCACTTTGTTTATTTGGAGTTCAGTTAGCAAGGATTTAAGCTGCACCTTTGTTTCTTGGGATTAGTAATATGAACCGACTTTCTGTTTGTGCCACGATTAACAGTTTTACTCTATCGAACCAGATCTCATTTAAAACCACGTCTGAAAGAGTCGCCCTTTGCCTAAAGTGCCAGCTGTTCGCTCAAGAACGTTGAAAGATTTACTACCGCTAGTTGGTAACTTCTTACAAAACTTTGTCACACGTTGTCATCTAATGCATTTCCTTTTTATCGAGTTCTAATTAGTCATTTATGGTTTTAAACTCTTATGGTTTGTTTTAATTGAAAGCAGCTTTATGTAAATGAGAAGCGTGGTGACGTTGAGCGGCGCGCAAGTATGTATTTGTCATATGCGTAATGGAAAAATCCCCTCAGTTATTGATCCTGGAATTGCTTTTGTGTGTGTTCTCACTCCTGCTCCCTTACACTCTCAGAGGGTTTTGCACTGTTGTTGTTGTTTTGTTTATTAGGCATTTCACCTGTTCTTTGCACTGTTTCCTGTCGTATAAAACTGCTTCATGTGTGTAAAGTGCTACACATTTCCTGTAATATTGTTCTGTAGTGAAAGTGATTGTTGTTTGTTTCAGTATTACAGGGATGCCCAAGGAAAAATATGATCCGCCTGACCCAAGGAGGATGTACTCAATAATGTCCAGTGAGGAGGTGGCCAATGGGAAGAAGTCATATTGGGCAGAGCTGGAGATTGTTGGTAATGTTTGGGGTCTCAGAGGGGGTCATGATGTCAGAGTGAAATGAAAGCAAAATGCACGGTTCGTTTAAAGTTGGCATGAAATGAAAATTCACTTTGTATTTTGTAAATGCATGTCACAATTAATCTGTGCTTTTTTTTTTTTTTTTTTTACCTCGCTGTTTTTAATCAAAATGGCATAACTGGATATTCCAGTGAAAATGGCAGACGACTTTCTGGTGACGTATGCAGGAATTCTCCAGTCATTTAGTCTGCTTAAACCCACCCCGCAAGCTCACGTTCACCTGCCCTCACTTTTGAGCATGATGCCCGCATCTCAAAATCCAAAGAACAGATGAATAGAAACAAGTGTCCGCCCTACGTTTTTTTTTCATTACATTCAGATGTTTGTCACAATATGTTAGAAAAGCTGTGTTGCTTTTCACAGTCTCACTATATGATATGAACACGTCACGAATGTCATCTCCAGCTGCTCTAAGAGTCACTTCATTAGCATTTTACCGTTTCATTTGAGAAAACTACCGTCATATCACATACACAGCAGCTGGAAGTTCTTCACAGCAACCCGTCAAAATAAAAGTTTAGTTTAACGTTCTACTGTCAGAATATATTACTATTTAGCAGTCTTAAGACTCAGTGCTACTACTGCTAATAAATATTAATAAATCTTTATTTTTAAAGGAATAATCACATCTGTTTTCTTTTTAATTTTAACAGTAAACCTCTGTTGTGCAGCACTTTGTTTGCCAAAAAATAAAAGGGTTTAATTTTCATTTGATTAGGATAAATGAATGTTTTATGCCTTCATCTGATTACCAGAAAAATTCAGAACATTTTATAGGGCCCTATTATTGTTTAAAAAAGGACCCTATCTAAACCGCGCGAGAGCCTATGAAAGCACCAATAATCGAAATAATATACTTTCAAACATACTGTTAAATATAAAAAAATATTTAAAACAGTTATTTCATATATATATTCGAATACAACAGTCATACATCGCTATTAGGACCGCACGTCCTGTGACAAGTTATCAGTCTAAGCAGCGCTCAGGACCGTGCGCCCCATGACGAGCCTGACGTACCGCCACAGAAACAAGGATGAGATGCGTTCTAACATAACTGTGGCATTAAACTCAGTTAGTGAGGGCTCGGTTAAAATATTGCACATATATAGGCTGTTCAGATTACTTGTTAAAATGCAATGAAATGCCTTATATTAGCAGACGATGTACGTTTGTGGTTGGAGACTCCTTCACCGGCTACAGGCTCTAATCCTCATTTGCGCGAGTGTGAAATGCAGTGCTGAAGTGAAATAACGGGGCAATTTGATAATAATAGCTGAATTATAATGAGCCTACTATTGTCTTGACCGGGGTGGCAAACTCCGGTCCTGGAGAGCCGCAGCCTTGCAGAGTTCAGCTCCAACCCTAATTAAAACTCACCTGCCTGTAGCTTCCTAATAACCCTTTAGGCCTTGATTAGCTTGTTCAGGTGTGTTTGATTAGGGTTGAAGCAAAACTGCAGGGCTGCGGCTCTCCAGCACCGACGTTCGCCACCCCTGGTCTTGACTATCGACAAAGACATATGCTATGGTCGATATCTCTGACTATCGTCGATACACGATACTATCGTCTATTGGCACAACCCTACTAAACACCCTCTCAGATGGGGAGCTAGTTGCTGGAACACATAGGTATTTCTTAGCTAATTTAGCAAATTTGGGGGAATGTGCCTCATGGGAGCAAATCAATAGAATGTGGACTCATACATGGTGTATTTTACCTCATCTAGTGTACTGATTCATTATAGGCTTATATATATATATATATAAATAAATACCAAAGACTTATGCACTATCTGTCTATATTATGAAAACTGGTAAAACAAATGAAAAATATTATAACAGTGAAATTCCTAATAGTAATTCCAAATTGCCATAGCCTATGTTTCTCTATTCAAACAACAGCGGTTGAGTAAGTGCATTTATTCAGCGATCACAATCGCAAACAATACAGTCGAGATCTCATGACAGAGCACAGACTGGTTGAGTGACACTTTCATTTTGATCGCTGAACTCCAGCTTGTTTGTTGGTGTTTTCAGATCATCGTCAGCGGCGCTTCTGCAATGAGGAGCGAGTGTTTGCGCATGGTTGCCAGATTGCTTAAAATAAGCAAAACACGGGGCAGAAAATGTATCCTGGTAACAGCGAAGCTCTGTTTTGGGGATTTGAACTCTTGTTATCTGGCAACCACACTCATGAAAGCTCGTGTAGTAGAGGTGTGTACAGTAGAGCAGTCCGCAATAGCACGTTAGCTGTGTCCGAAACCGCTCCCTATCCACTATATAGTGCACTATATCGGGTGTCAGCCATTTTGTAGTGCTGTCCGAATTCTGAGTGAACAACTTTATTCCCTACATTCGTCCTCTACTTTTTACCCACAATGCATTCTGATTTCGAGTGTACATCCGATGTACACTCGCTGAAACACTATTTCCCACAATCCAATGCGGAGAACCGGCAAGCTGGAAGAGAGAGCGGAAGCGAGCAAGTTTGAATGAGATGCCGTTTACATCTTTATTATTTTTGCTTTAATGTTTATTTCATACATTTATATTAAAATGTTATGGTGACAGCCCCGTTCACACCAATAACGATAACTATAAAGATAGCGATATTAGCGTCCACACCAGCGAACGTCTGTTTGTTCTAAGCGCACTCGCGTCTGCCACTTTAAATTCTCGAGCTAGTTACAGCAGGATGGATTCTGATTGGCTCTCAATTTTTTATCGTTCATCAGCTGGAGAAAAATCGTTTTGAAAGTGATTCCAACGATATCGTTTCTCTTTGTCTTTATCGTTATAGTTGTGGTGTGGACTCTGCTATTCTTTAATATTGAGAACGATTTTTAGAACTATACCTTTATCGTTATCTTTATAGTTATCGTCCTTGGTGTGAACGGGGCTTAACTCAGTTTAATATTTTACTAATTTACTGAGGTGGCATTGTTGTTAACTTACAAAAATTATGATAATTTGGTGGATAATTTAAAAATGTTCGTTAATCACAGTAGGTAGCGTATTCATTCTGATGTAAAATTAACGGTCGCCTGAGGGCGCTCTGACCATTATCTTATCTGAGCTGAAAACGCTGAACGGGAGAGAGTGCATAATTACAATATAAAGTCATTTTGAGTGTTATTGCTATTAATATTCTTTTCTAAAATAAGGTACATGTAATATAAAAGTACATAGGCCTATGTGGCGATGGTTTTGCAACCGCTCCAAGTCTCACGCGCAGTGTATACGTCACCGTCTGAATAAGTTCACTTATTTAACTCTTTTCTGATATATACTGCCATACACTATACAGGATTAGTGAATGAGTGAGCGATTTCGGACACAGCTAAGGTCTCCTTTTTTGGCCGTTCGGCACGTTCTTTTGGGAAAGTATGCTTGAATTTGAAATTCGATATTCATGATATTTTCAAATTGTACATAGTCGACAAAATTATTGCGATATTATCGCTAATATTCGATATATCACCCAGCCCTAGTACTAAATAATCAAAATATAGTAATTGCTCCACCTTTAACCACTTTTGTTTTTGGCTGAGGTGATTGTGTTGGAAGATAATGTTAAGCAATAAGCAAAAAGCTATTTACACTTGTTTACACTGTTGAAGTCAGTATCACGTTTTTAAGTCTTGCCAATAGTTAATGCAGTAATATATTGGCATTTCATGTAAATGAAAATAAATTAGTTTTGTAGAACTGCAATAACTAATCAATGAAAACAATCAACAAATTTATTATAGATAGTCACGTTTTTATGGACAAACCTGAAATACAGGACACAGACTGAGCTGTTGCAGGAAAAGTGCACAAGCCGATTGCTTTATGCTTTTTAATATATGGAGATGTTTTCCTAAGCATATAACTTTTTATGGTTATATCCTTATCTGTAAACGTTAGAATAATTTTTCCTTTTCATAAAGGTCCTTCAAAGTGAGGGAGTCTGTGATACTTCACGGACTTCATTGAATGAGCATCAGCGTGCACATCAGACAGACAGAGCACATTAGAAAGAGTGCAATAATTCTGACTAAAATGTACATTTAACTGTTAAATTAAGTTATTTTTGTGAGGGCAGTAACTGTAAAGGCACTATTATAATTGGTAATAGATAAGATTGTTCAGATGAGTAAATGCACCTCTTACCAAGTTAACAATCTGTTTTTGTTTTGTATTTTCTTTTAATTTAGTGATGTTAACTTTTCCTTTTTTGCACAATGTAAATCATAGCCTACATGGATACATTCACTATATTTGTTTTCATAGCCTTCACTTTGTACATTGTTTGGAGGATAACATTGGGCTGGTTGTGGAATATATGCAGAAAATAAAATGTTGCTTTTGTGTGATTAATCGATGAAATCTTTAGTTGCAGCCCTAGAGTTTTGAAAAAGATTTGTTTCATTGGAGATATGTTGAGATGCTCTTGAAGCTGCTGAATTCAAGTGCTGCACTTTTTATTTTTATTTTTTTTTTGGTTTCAATAGAAAATGCATTAATTTACAGAAGTAAAATGTGCAAATGCGGTTTCATGTTGATGTTAATAAGTTGTTTTAAATATTTTAGTATATTCACTTTTTAAGTCCCTTTTAAGTTTGTGTTGCTTAAGCATGCAATGCTCTGTTTTCTTTGCAGGAAAAGTGAGGAGTTTGAGTTCAACATTATGGTCCCTTACCCATCTCACTGCTCTTCATATCAGTGATAACTCACTTTCGCGAATCCCGCCCGACATTGCCAAACTACACAACTTGGTGTACCTGGACCTCTCATCCAATAAGATCAGGAGCCTGCCCGCTGAGCTAGGCAATGTGGTATCTCTCAGGTGAGAAGCTAGTTGGCTTGAAACCAGACAATGAAACCACCATAAAGATTTTATTTTGATGTAAGGCAGATGGATGAGACTATTGTGGTAGTGTGCAGAGACTTTTTAACCCCCTGCTTGCTTTTGCACGAGTCGTTTGGCCTCCAGGCTTTAATTAGGTCCTGTATTCTTCAGAAGTTATGTTTGCCTCCAGGGGCTGTGCTCTTATAACACCACCATTCTCATGTGTGGGGGACACAGTGGTTAGCTCTGAATCAATTTCATTTGTCACAGGTTGAAATATGTTACCACTTCTGCTAGTGTGATTACTGCTGCTCGGTATGGTTATAAATCATGTTCTGAGAGGAGCTGAAATGCTACCTTTTGAAAGTAGTTGGGATTTCATCCAACAGCTGAAATGCGCCAGGCTACAATAGGTTTTGTGCAGAAAGGCGGCTTTTATGCCAAAAAAGCCTGTTGACGTTGAGTTTTTTATTTATTTATTTTTTTTTTGTAGCATTTGGCTTTTCGTGCAATAGTTGATCTCTTTTAAAAACACCCTGTATTCTTTTGTGCTTTTTGTTGTATGATTATCACTGTTTTTATGGCATGCAAATTTTTGTCTGTTTGTTTCACAGGGAACTGCTTTTAAATAACAACCAGTTACGAGTTCTGCCTTTTGAGCTTGGAAAACTCTTTCAGTTACAAACGTTGGGTTTGAAAGGTACTACTTCCTTTTATAACCCGTAAAACTTTAGTTTTGCAGGCCCAGATGGACTTTATGGAAGTTTTTGCTTTTTCTGTGCTGGTTTTAGAATTTAGAATGTAGAAATAGTAAAAGGTTTTAAACTAACCTGAGTGTACTACACTTATTAGTAGCCGAAAATAATAATCAAATTGGTAAAAATATCTAAAACACTCAAGGGCCAGAGAATGTGTGCAGAGCATTTCTCCAGGTGTGGATTCTGTGTGAGCTTAGTTAGTTGTTGATATTTTGTTGCTCTAAAGTAACAATTGCTGTAGTAAGCTTGTCACTCTTAGATGGGAATTGGAATGCATATATATATATATATATATATGTATGTATATGTATGTGATCTACTATTAACAATTACTTTGAGTCTATAAATATTTAAAATGTTTTTGGATTCATATTTAAAATTGCTTTATGTAAAATTATCCATTTTAATTTCTCTGATTTTATTTATTGTTTGCCAAAATGTTAGCTATTTTGAATTCAGTTGTTTCCCTATTGTACAATTTATTATAGATAATATATTGATTTCTTTGGACTTCTTTCCCCTTTTGGATTCCCAACTAAGTGATGTTAGGATCAGTGATGGAATTTGAGAAAATCAGATGTAAATGTAATTCTACAGTGATGTAATGTACTGGTTCTGTAATTATGCTTTTTTCGGTGACATGTCATGTTTTATGTTTTGTTGTGTTCTGTAGGGAACCCACTTGGACAAGAAATCTTGAACCTCTACCAAGAGCCTGATGGGACACGTCGGCTCCTCAACTACCTGCTGGACAATCTCGCAGGCACCAAACGTGGTGAGTCAACCCTTGTACAGCTGGCCTTCTTGTGTGGCGAGCACTGAAAAGCTTCTATTCTTGTACATGCTCTTTAGAGCAGATTAATTTCATGCAATGAAATGAGTCATGGAATTGTTGTTTGATTTAACATTTTCTTTTGATGCTCTCTGAATTACTGTGGAGATAATTACTATGTTCTTGCACGGCAATGCGGAGCAATTTTCATTGAGTCATTGCTCAGTTTTTATTGAAAGGTTCACTAACTGAGTGAAGTGTGTGTTTTTTTTTTTTTTGTTTGTTTTTTTTTTTGGGCCATAGTATCTATAGATCAGCCACCACCTCGCTCATGGATACCACTGCAGGAGCCTGACAGAACACGGCCAGCAGGTGAGGCACTTTCACTTAAGTTCACATTGTGTCACACAGGCCTGCACCATTTAATCTTTCACTTCTCTTTTACCCAGGTGCAGCAATTTAGAGAATTCTTTTCTAATAAAAAAGGGCAAGACATCCTCAAAGCGTGGCCTAGAGGCAATTTTACTTCATGAGAGACCTAGGGCTGCACAATTATTTAAATAATGCAGAATGTATGATAAGGTCTTGTGCGATTTTTATTTAACCACAAAAGACTGAGATTTGATTAGACCTAGTCTGCAGGAACTATGCCTGTAATATTCAAGCACATGTGAGGCTCTTGATATGGCGTTTTAGCTGTCCGAGTTTGGTTCGCTTTAAATAAAGAGCTTTAAGAAACCTCTTTATTTTTTTCAAATTTAGTGTTTTCTGTTTTAATGGTTTAAGCTATAAAAAAGCATGTCTAATCAATTAAATTCATAACTAACAATTTATTAAATTAACAATATTAAGGCCCTTTGAAATTATTTTTCCCAAGTTCCATTTTAATTTTTTTAAAGTTTACATTTTCCTTGATTTAATCAAATTTATCAAACTGTAGTAAACATAAGTTCATAAATATTTTAAAATAAAAGCAAATGAAAATAATTGAAAAATATAGCTGCAAGCAGCAATTATGGGGCCAAGCACTCCAGAGGCAAAATGAGGAGCTAAGCATGGCATGGATCATCAGACCAACCTCAAAAATGAGTAATTAAAGCAAGTTTAGGATGATTTGAAGCAAAATGACTGAAAATTCAGAAACACAACTTCTGGTAATATGATTTAATGGCTTATCACTTTTGACCAATAGGTGGCACTGTTATCAAGTCGATGTGGTGTGTCCTGTGTGAGGTGACAATGGCACACACAAAGTTTGGTGTCAATATGTAAAAGCTTTGCTGAGATACAGCCTCAGACATGATCTGGCAATATGCCTCAAATTTGTTGTGGTGCTATACAAAAAAAAACAAAACGTTTTTGTCTATCAACACGAAGTCCATAACTTTTTGTCAGCACTGTCTGATGATGATCTGATTCGATTTTGGTGAAAATTGGACCAACGGTCAAGGAGGAGTTTGAAAAAGTAGGTTTTCAACATAAATCAAAATGGTGGACAGGAAGTTCGGCCCACAATGGCATAATTGGTATCCATGTTGTTGGCATGACCCAAGGAATATTTTGAGACTAATTATAATAAGGTAATGCAATCAAAAATTATTAGCATTTTTGGAAATTTCATAATTAATGGTTTATGAATGGTTTACTACTCTTGACCAGTAGGTGGCGCTGTTACCAAAATGATGTGGCCTAGTCAGTGTGAGGTGTCAATGGCACATACAAAGTTTGGTGTAAATATGTCAAAGCTTTGCAGAGATACAGCCTCAGATGCAGTTTGGCATCTTTCCAGCAAATTCGTTGATGCGCTAAACGGGAACCGTTTCGTATATCAACATGAAATCCATAACTGAAGATGTCTGAAGATGATTTGAATTTGGTGAAAATCGGGCTAACGGTCTAGGAGGAGTTCGAAAAATTTGGTTTTAAAGATTTATCAAAATGGCAGACAGGACATTCAGCCAGTTATGTCAAAATTGGTATCAATTAGGGCTGCACGATAAATCGCATGCGATTATTAATGCGCATCTTGTCAGTAAAGACGGTTCTGTAATCAGCGGTAAATCTCCATCACCTGCGGGCTTTCACATTGAGCAGCATTAACTACACAGAGCCGTTGTTCACTGACGAGTTGCGCAAAACCACGTTCATATTCGCACGATTTTTTGCGCAGCTCGTTAATGCTGCTCAATGTAAAAGCCCGCAGGTGATGGAGATTTACTGCTGATTACAGAACCGGCTTTCTGAGAAGATGTGCATTAAATATCGCATGCGATTTATCGTGCAGCCCTAGTGTCAATGTTCTTGGCATGATCCAACGACTCTATCAACATCAGTCTCATTACAATAAGTTAACACAAGCCAAAGTTATTAGCATTTTTAGAAATTTCATTATAACTTTTGACCACAAGGTGGTGCTGCTCCCAAACTTTGAGTACCGTCAGGGCATGGTGCCAAAGACACATGCTGAGTTTCGTAACCATACGTCAATGCGTTCGTAAAATGTAGAATTTTATGAAAAAATTCAAAATGGCTGACATAGGAAAATTGGATATGGTTCGTCTTGGCATAATCCACCGACTCGAAAGAGACCAGTTTTGTGATTTTTGGCCAAACCATTCAGAAGTTATAAGCAAAAAGAGCAATTTTTCATATCTCCTGACCACTAGGTTGCAATGTGCCGAAACACTGCAGGTAGCCTCAGGTCAAGCTTGTTATAGCACATACCAAGTTTGGTCTCAATACACCAAACCGTTGCGGAGATATAGCCTCACATCCATTTGTGCGTGCTTTTTGTAGAATTTGTTCGCGTGTTATTAGAGAATGGTTGGATCAATTGAAAAATAAACATGAATTCCATAACTTCCATTCGACTCGGCATGAGCCAAGGAATCAGAGGAAAAAAGATTTTTACTTCTGTGCCTTACGGTTCAAAAGTTATTAGCATAAACGTGAGTGAAAGTTTGGACAAGTGGTGGCGCTAGAGAGTTTGAGTTAGAGATTCCAAATTTGCTATGATTAATGTTGAGACTGTCCTTTATCAGTGGGCCAAATTTCACAACTTTCCCGCAAGCGGTTCTATTAGCCCTGGGCGATAAAACGGTATTGATATTTATTGACGGTACACCCTCTTCAATAACAATAGAAAAAATTTTCGATATAGCGCACGATATAGGCACATACTATGAGTGACGCAGACAGCACACACAAACAGGTACACATGCTGAATTGAGTGCTGTGCCTGCCTGTGATGAGGAGATTGTGAATAAAAGAAAATGAATATTAGTCGAATTTAAAATAAACATTTGCATTTGAATGCAAAAATAGTACAATCAAATGTTAGGTGTGCGTCTGGGAGCGTAATTCGTGGATCGCGAGATGTGGTGATGATGATGTGACGTTGCATTTTAATGTTTTGTTAGTCTAGCCCACAAGACGCGCAGTTGCTGCGTTATTCATTCAAAATATTAGAGAAATATAGTAGCTCAATGCATGGAAGATCTTGATTAGGTTAAAACCGAAACCAAGCCATTCACACAGAACGCATATTCAGCGCATTTTTTAGACTGACAATATGACTGCTGCACTCGCGTCTCATGCAAGAGATGTATAGAAAGCCATGCAAAGTTAAAAGTTTAAACTTTTAGAAAACACGTCACGAGTTTGTGGAGGTTTATTCCTTTTCACTGCGTCTCTTATGCTTTTAAATGCAATCTGCGTGATGGGCGATTCGGCTCTTTGTATTAAGCAATGCATAAATACATGATGCTGTTTTGTTCATAATTGTTTATGCAATTTATGAAATTATGTTTGATTTATGAGTTAATTTAGACGTAAAGCACATTTTTTTTATAGACAGTTATTTCCTTTGCATTGGCAGTTTAATGTGCTGCATTATTTTGCTCATTGCACCCTCCTGTGGCCTCGGGAGACAAGCCAAAAGTTTCCATCAGACCTATTTAATCTGCATATAAAACATTAGAAATTAGATATGTTTAATTTTTATTTTGTGTTTGACTTAAAACAAAAAATTTGTTGTTTGTCTCAATTAATTGGGTTAATTAAAAAATACAGTGGTTAAATTTAAATGTTTTTTTTCTATTGCTTTGTTTTAAAAAAGGTTATAAAAAGTGTCTATAATTATCGATACTGAACGATATGAAACATTATATCGTTGATACATTTTTTTTAGCTATATCACCCAGCCCTAGGTTCTATGGGCTGCCATAGACTCAAGAGCGGAAGAATAATAATAAGAACGCAAACGGATACAATAGGTGCCATCGCACCTTCCGTGCTTGGCCCCTAATTAAATAGTCACTGCTACTACTTTGAGAATTACATTTTTACAATAATTTGTCAAAATTAGCCAAATTCTGTGAAATTCCAGGATGCCTAATGAATGACACGTGACTTTATTTTTTCTATTATGGTGTAATAAAATCCTGTATAAATATTGAATATTTTTGTATATAAAAGTAACAGCATCTTAATGAATAGCTATTTTTGTCAACCTCACTGAAGTCTTGCTTCCTTTCTTCACACTTTAGCACTTTTCTCTGTAATGTGCTAAAAATAGTACAATCAAATGTTAGGTGTGCGTCTGGGAGCGTAATTCGTGGATCGCGAGATGTGGTGATGATGATGTGACGTTGCATTTTAATGTTTTGTTAGTCTAGCCCACAAGACGCGCAGTTGCTGCGTTATTCATTCAAAATATTAGAGAAATATAGTAGCTCAATGCATGGAAGATCTTGATTAGGTTAAAACCGAAACCAAGCCATTCACACAGAACGCATATTCAGCGCATTTTTTAGACTTTTCACTGCGTCTCTTATGCTTTTAAATGCAATCTGCGTGATGGGCGATTCGGCTCTTTGTATTAAGCAATGCATAAATACATGATGCTGTTTTGTTCATAATTGTTTATGCAATTTATGAAATTATGTTTGATTTATGAGTTAATTTAGACGTAAAGCACATTTTTTTTATAGACAGTTATTTCCTTTGCATTGGCAGTTTAATGTGCTGCATTATTTTGCTCATTGCACCCTCCTGTGGCCTCGGGAGACAAGCCAAAAGTTTCCATCAGACCTATTTAATCTGCATATAAAACATTAGAAATTAGATATGTTTAATTTTTATTTTGTGTTTGACTTAAAACAAAAAATTTGTTGTTTGTCTCAATTAATTGGGTTAATTAAAAAATACAGTGGTTAAATTTAAATGTTTTTTTTCTATTGCTTTGTTTTAAAAAAGGTTATAAAAAGTGTCTATAATTATCGATACTGAACGATATGAAACATTATATCGTTGATACATTTTTTTTAGCTATATCACCCAGCCCTAGGTTCTATGGGCTGCCATAGACTCAAGAGCGGAAGAATAATAATAAGAACGCAAACGGATACAATAGGTGCCATCGCACCTTCCGTGCTTGGCCCCTAATTAAATAGTCACTGCTACTACTTTGAGAATTACATTTTTACAATAATTTGTCAAAATTAGCCAAATTCTGTGAAATTCCAGGATGCCTAATGAATGACACGTGACTTTATTTTTTCTATTATGGTGTAATAAAATCCTGTATAAATATTGAATATTTTTGTATATAAAAGTAACAGCATCTTAATGAATAGCTATTTTTGTCAACCTCACTGAAGTCTTGCTTCCTTTCTTCACACTTTAGCACTTTTCTCTGTAATGTGCTACAACGTGCTTTGTGATAAGTACGCCACACGTCAGCTCTACGGCTACTGTCCCTCCTGGGCCCTCAACTGGGACTACAGGAAGAAGTCCATTATGCAGGAGATCCTCAGCTGCAGTGCGGACATCATCAGCCTACAGGTTTGTCAGCCGCTTACATAATTCAAGCTGGAGAACTGTGCTTTAAAAGCAATTCTTACTGGAATAAACTCCTTTAAGGAAACTTGGTTCCAAAATTAGACCGTGATACCAAAACTGTTCAGTTAGGTGATGTCTCATTTACACCCAGTCATAACAAAAACATCAATCTCTTATGTGCCCAATAGGAAGTGGAGACGGAGCAGTACTACCACTATTTCCTGGTGGAGCTGAAGGAACATGGTTATGAAGGATTCTTCAGCCCGAAGTCCCGAGCCAGGACTATGTCAGAATCTGACCGCAAACATGTGGACGGCTGCGCCATCTTCTATAAAACAGAGAAGTGAGTCCACCTTAAGCAGACTGCAAGCCTTAAGTTTAGTGGTTCGAACAACAGTTGTTCTAGCATGTTGTGTTTGCATGCGTCATCCTGACCTCATTGTTTCTGTTGAGCAGGTTCAGTCTGGTGCAGAAACACACAGTGGAGTTCAACCAGCTGGCTATGGCAAATTCAGAAGGTTCAGAGGCCATGTTGAACAGGGTGATGACCAAGGACAACATCGGAGTGGCTGTACTACTAGAGCTGCGGAAAGAGATGATGGAGCATTCTGGTCTGTTTCCTTTTTCCCCTTTTCGCTACACTTACAGTTGCACTCTTGGTGCATGTTACTCCTTCTGGTGTGACTTTACACTAAATCTGTATGATTAACTTTGAAAATATAAAATCACTCAAGTATATAAATATTTAACTATTCACACCAGTACCTAAAAATATTGATATTTTCATTGTATTGTGATATTTGGGTTAATGTGATCGATCCGCCTGCTTCATAGTCTGAAACACACAAACTGAACTTTCTGTTGTACATGTGTGCTCCTTAAAACTAGTAAGATAAATAATGATGATGATAAAATTGTAATATTTATAAGGTTTTTTTTTTTACCGAATTAATTGATATTTCAATAAAATAGTGAAGTCATAGTTTACAGTGATTTTAATGGGTGTTGGGTGCAACATTTATTGCTTTCATAAAATGGTTACTATGCATACCTGGCAAGGTTTCATAAAAAAACACAGTAAGAAAAAAAATAGTTTTATTATGAAATAACACTTCTGCCAATCACTGTATTTTTTTTCAGCAACATTTAGCAAAAAGGTTGCCAAGCGGTGGACAGCATGCTTGATGCAGTAATACTGATGTAATGAGGTCGCAGATGCTTAAACAAAAGTTTTGAACAAGGCTCATCCAATCATATTTAAGGACTGGATTGTTTTATAGTTGTACATGCTCTTTTCTCCTATTTCTGCATTTAGATCATCTTTGTCATTTAATGCTTACTTAATTCCTTTATTAAAAACACTAATTTAATAAACATGTTAAGTGTAATTTTAGCAAATGAATCTAAATGATTATCCATTTTTCATACTAAACAATGCCACAAACAATATTAAAATTCTACAATTTATTATGCTTTAACTAAAACCATAAGGAGGCATTTTCATTATTTGAAATAAATGGAAATAAAGTATTAAACTATTTCAGAAAGTTGCCATGGCAACATTTCTATATTTTCATTGTTTAACTTGTATTAAATTAACTAAAACGGAAGTAAAAAAAATATAAATAAACTACATATAAAAAGTAAAACTTAACCTAATTTTAAAACGTATAAAAACAATTCAAGATAAAGAATGTAATAGTATCTTGATGGAAGTTGCATTTACTTTTATAGCACTTTTTCAATAGATATTGATTCCATGAAGCTTCACATTATTAAACAGGAAAGTAACAATCAATGATGCAAACTTCACAAATGAGACCAATCCAAAGTGCTATAAAGCAGCTGTAGCAAGACAATAGTGTCATTCTTCAGCTCCAGTCAGTTCAGTTTTGGTTCAGTAGCTGCGTAAAGTTCATTCATCATAAAATGAAGTTCATTTCAGTGATAAGCAGCTCAGCTGAAGACAGTAGTGTTGTTGTTCAGCTTGAGTCAGTTCTGTGTAGATTCATTTCAGTTCAATAACAGTGATGTTGCAAAATTCATGAATTATTAGTTTTACTCTGGGCAGAGACTCCTAAGTCTCATAGCAATATCTAAGCAGTGTCTCTTTCTACTCCATAGCTGGAAAGCCTCTGCATGGCATGGAGAAACAGCTCCTTCTTGTGGCCAATGCTCATATGCACTGGGACCCCGAGTACTCTGATGTGAAGCTTGTCCAGACCATGATGTTTCTGTCTGAAGTGAAGAACATTGTGGACAAAGCCACTCGCAGTCTCAAGCTCTCCTCTGTCTCAGGAGAAACCAATGCTATCCCTCTGGTCCTGTGTGCTGACCTCAACTCTCTACCTGACTCGGGTATGTATGCCAGAACCATAGTGTTTAGAGATTGATTTTCGTTCATTCTTGCATTATTCCTGATGGAGATTTTCATGCTCGCACAGGTGTGGTGGAGTACCTGAGCACAGGTGGTGTGGACAGCACCCACAAGGACTTCAAAGAGCTGAGATATATTGACAGCTTGACCAACTTTAACTGCAACGGCAAGAACGGCACCTCCAGCACCAGGATCACGCACGGCTTCAAGCTGAAGAGTGCCTATGAGAACGGCCTGATGCCTTTCACCAACTACACCTTTGACTTTAAGGTTTGATTTCTTTTCTTTTTTATACAATGCTTGTATATCTCTTCTATTTTAGCTATTAGTTCGTTTTAGAGGTCGACCGATATGGGTTTTTCACTGGCCGATGCTGATATTTAGGCCCTGTCCCAAATGGCACCCTAAACCCTCGCGGTCTTCCTCTTGAGTCCACACTTTCGTGACGTAATGCCGCTTTAGCTGTCGGGTAGAAGTCTGCTGCGGAACTCGCCCCGGTGCGGGCTTGGCAGAAGTGCGGATCGAGGGCACATAACAGCTGCAAAGGGGGTGCTCGCAAGCACCCTTCTGAACGCTAAATTGACAAATGGGACACCCTACGGTCTCGTGGACTTAACGGGCACGCGGCGGCCATTTAAAGTCCGTAAGACCGCAAGTGCACATGAAGTGTTACATTTGGGACAGGGCCTTAGAAATCAGGGCAGCCGATGGCCGATATATGATGCCAATTTTTTTTGGCCGATATTTTTATTTTTTATTTTTCCCTTCATCTCATAAAAGTGAGTTCGAGTAAATGATTATTGCAGGGTACAAGATAGTAATGGTGGTAGTAGTAGCCTAATTCAGAGTAATAATACATGGCTCAAAATAGGGCTGGGTGATATATCTAAAACATTTATCAACGATATAATGTTTCGTATCGATAATTATTGACATTTTTTATAATCTTTTTAAAAAAAATTTAAATTTAACCACTGTATTTTTAAGTTAACCCAATTTATTGAGACAAACAACAAATATTTTTGTTTTAAGTCAAACACACAATAAAAATTAAACTAATATCTAATTTCTAATGTTATATATGCAGATTGAATAGGTCTTAAAGCAGCACTATGTAACTTTTGGCGCTCTAGCGGTTAATAAACAGAACTGCACACATCCTGCGGAAGAACATTCCAGCCAGAGCTACTTCTCTAAGTTTTTTCTATGGCGATTCACGCAGGTATGTGTTACTCCGCAGCGGTGACGACCCGACCAGGCTACAATAGTCCAAATATAAGTACTTTATTATAAGTGTACCGTAGTGATTCGGAATAAGACGACAACATGGTTTGGAAGATGAATTCATGATGTACTTGCTCATTATATACATTTAGCAAATTTTGAACACAGAAAAAGTTACATAGTGCTGCTTTAAGGAAACTTTTGTCTTGTCTCCCGAGGGCGCAATGAGCAAATGCAGCACATTTAAATTGTAAACACAAGGAAATAAGTCTATAAAAAAACATGCATTAACCCACTTTTCTTTCATTTTTGGGAGATCTATCCCTTTAAGGTTACCTGGTTACCCAGTACCGTCACCTGTATTATAGTGTCAACCTGATCACTGCTGCTGGATTAGGCGCTAGGCATATTTGCTTGAAAATCCAAGGGGCCATTGTTTGGAGACAACTAGCTAGTGTTGTTTAATGTAAAAGAAACTGTATGCCGTCATAATGATGATCATCATTATTATTTTGAGGATAAAAATGTTAAGTAAAAAGTGTAATTAAACACTTTTATAAACATATTTTTTTATAAAACACTTTTTTTACAATATGTTATTAAAATAATTATAAACATTTATCAAGTGTGTTTGTAGTGTGTTTTATCTTGAAGTGTCAAACCATCAGTGGCACAGTAGTAATGTTTTTCTTTTCTTTTTCTTTTTTTTTTTTCAGGGCATCATTGACTACATCTTCTACTCTCAACCTTTGCTTAATGTGCTGGGCATACTGGGTCCCTTGGACCTCCACTGGCTCCATGAGAACAGTATCACTGGCTGCCCCCATCCCCACATCCCCTCTGATCACTTCTCCCTGTTTGCACAACTGGAGCTGCTCCTGCCCTATCCGCCTGCTGTCAACGGCATTCATCTGCCTGGTCACAGGTAGTTCTCCGAGCCAGCAGGGGGAGCTCCGGCCCCTACCTCCTTTTGCTCTCATAGTGGAGAGAGAATGAGGCAAGGGCTGTTGTGTATAAATCTGAATCCCTTAGGAGGAGATGGGGTATGGCAAACTTTTATTCCCACGGATTTTAACTGAAGCAGACGTTAATGTCAGTCTTATCTCTACCATCTCCCACCCAGTTTCTTTTTTTGTTTTGTTTTGTTTAGTTTTTCCTTTTCCTCCCTCTGTTTCTGGGCACAGGTAACATTCTGTACTTTTTTTTCTTTTTTTTTTTTCAAAACCCCTGAGTGATCATGTAAGTTTTACCTAAAGACAGAAAAAAAGCTTTTTTTTAATATAAATAACTAAATGGCAATATCTTTGAAACACATGCAGGGAGTCCAGATCAAGCGAGTTATCATGACGCGCATAATTTTGATCATGCTACTATAAGGCCAGTTTAGAGCAAGCAGCTGAATTTGACAAAAAAAAAAAAAGAATTTCACCAGCTTAGGTCAGATAGTCCGATCTCCAGGAGCAACCCTTTAATCAAGGGATTTTAATGTGTAAAGAGAGCTGGCCGAACTCTCACATTTGCACTCAGTGGTGCTGAGGCCTCTCCATGGATGCTCTAGCTGTACACCAGAGACTGCTTTGCACAGCCCACCATCACCGGGTCTACCAGGCCTTGTCTGTCTTATAATTAAGTCCATTGGATGCCAGAGCAATTGTACCTTTTTTATTCATGCTTTTAAGAAAGCAACATTTCAAGAGCCAAAATGGCCGACTTATGAAGTTGTCTAGCTTCATGTGCCATAGAGCCCTACTTGAACTGAGGTGCTCACTGTTCTGGTGCGTACAGCTGAGAAAGGATTTCAGTGAAGAGAAATTATCTGGAATGGCCTTCGCACCTGGGGAAGTTTGGCAGGAAATCATGTTAAGATGCTGAGAATGTTAGAACAGGCAAAGACAAGCACAGCCCTCTCATAGACCGATAAATTAAACCCTCAATGTGACCTGTAGACGCCTCGCCCAGCCAAGACTCCAGTTCACTCCTGATTTTTATTTATTTACTTTTTTTCTTCTGTACATGATTGTATACAAGCAACAAAATTCCTGATCTACTGCTTATTTTTTTTCTTTTTTTTTTTTGTACGTACACTTTTAGATTTGGATGAAAAATGATTGTATTGTAAATTAAAGTTAAGTTTCTATTCGTTTTAGATGTTTATCCTAATGAACATTCAAAAGACCAGCGTGTGTAAAATAATTTTTTTTCAGGTTTCTGCTGTGTAAAGTTGCACTTGTCCAGGTTCCAATTTTTACCCAGTGCACCAGTTTTTTTTAATGTTTTTATTATTGTTATTATTTTGGATGTTTAATTCCACTGAGGCAGATACCTGGTGATGCGGTCCTGTTACCCGCTTCGATATTCAAGAACATGTATCATTGTGCCTCACTGATTCGTTTCTCTTAAGCGCACTGCCAGTGCTATCAGTGAACACCTGAACAGCCTCAATCTCTCTACATCTTCACCATCCTTATACAATATCCTCATTTCTGTTTGTTGGATTTTTTTTGTATTCGCTAGTGAACATCCTATTCTTCTGATCTTTTTGGGTGTCTACAAAGTCGAGTAAAGTGAGTGTTTCTGCTGTGCGATCCGTGCTCGTGATTTGGAGAAATCTTATCGTTCTCCAGTAGTTTCTTTTTTTAATTTTTTTTCCCCCCATTTGAATTCTCTATTTACTGCCACTTTTCCTCTCGACTCAGGCAATTCACTTTTAACCGTATATTTTGCTTGTGTATTTCTCTTTGTTTGGATATCGTTCTGTATTTCACTTCCTGCTAGATCACGGTTATCTCCTTGTGTCGTGCCATCCAATGCATTCTGCCACAAGGCCAAGTGTAAAGCTCGATTTACTACTGTAAAGCCTGCTCTCTGACCTAATGAAAACATACATGGCTTCTCTAAATGCAAGGCTAGAGTACCGTTACTGTAGCGTGGTAACTTCGTCTACGGTGGCACCGTCGTTTATTGCCGTGTACTCTCAAAGCCAGTTTGTTTTCTGTTTCCCCCTCCCTAATTAATTTGTCATGTTTTTCAAATCAAATGGATTGACAAGCACTTATTGTAGATCACTGGTGCAGCTACTCATTGCTTTTTCTTTTTTTATGAAAACACTTTTGCTATGAGGCAGAAGTCAATTTTAATGACTTTTATCAAGCAAGAGTAAATAGATGAACTAGGGAGGACCATCTTATTGTTCCCCTTTTGGTGTCCCTTTTTATTCCTTACATTATCTTTGTCAGTTTTGTTTTTCTTCTGGTTATTTTTAATTGAAAGCAACTTGTCTGTTTTTTTTGGATTGCTGACTGTGTTGTAGTAAAAAGATTTTTGTAAAGTGTGAATAAATAATGTATCACGTTTCCTTTCTTTGACATGAATTGTGTTAAAGTATTATCTAATAGTTTGTCATTTTCATTTTGCTTTTGTTTTGTAATACACACAACCAAATTTTTTGTAAAAATGTTGGCACACTGAATTATAGATTTATATTGTTGCTAACCTTCACTTCAAGATACTTTTTGAGAAGGAAAAAAAATTAGTCAAAGAAATCGTAGAGAGTCACAAAGAAATAAAGTGCTGTAATTTTGTCACCAAACCATTTCAACTTTGACCCTGAGCTTTGTGACATTTCACCTTGTTTGAGAGCCAGTTAGTTTGAAGCATACAAATACGTTTGGGTTGTGGTAAGCGTAGCAGACACTTTTATTTCTCTCCTGTTTTTCCTGCTTTCTAAGGTGTTTTCTTGCTATTGATTTCCAGAAGAAAGTAAGGTTAAGGGTAGATGAGATGGAGAAATCTTTTTATATTAGCAAGTGTTCTTGTTCTCCTTCCTTGTGTTCTGTGCACTATAGTGTCACCGACCTCTGAAAAAGTCACTTAAAATAAATTGTGCATGCTTAGATAGTTGCCATCGCCATATCGTTGTTTAGAGGAGTTTTTGTTTCCTTTGGGTCAAAGGCAATGGTTTCAGGTGGTTTCTTGTGCACGACAAGCAAAAACAGAATAATGCTAATAATGTCAACATGCTCAACTAGGCAATAATGACTCGGCCATTTTCCCCTTTTCAGATCCATTTGAGCAGATGTTTCTGGCTTTACCATAGAAATTCTTTTCATTTCCTTTTCCTGTTTCATAGTCAACTTTTCTCTGTCAGTAGGGGTAGTATTTCAATGGTCAGGTCAGGATTGTGGTTGAATCAGCTGAGAGTCAATAAGTATTGAGGTAATGTCACTATATAATGCACTGGACCACCTCTTGTTTACCATTTATGGAATCCCAGCATAAGACTTGCACAATGTTTAACAAAAAAAAAAAAGATTGTTGCACACATATATATATATATATATATGATATGATATGATATGGGAAAATAATATAGATATTAAAAAAAAAAATCAAATAATGGCAGCTGTTTTTAATTCAATATTAAGTGTTGGGGATAAAAACCTAATGGTAAACAAGGCGTTTTGGATTTCACTGTTTCTCCAGTTCTCTTGGTTCTCTTGAGTAGTGATGTGTTTATAACAGGGTCAGCTTGTTTCCTTTACACCTATGTATTTTTTTTCCTACTCATGGTAAAATAAATTCTATATCGGTTTCAGTCTTGGTGTTCTGTGTTTATTCTCAGATTTGTTTTTAAAGTTAATGCACATCATGTAGGCTACAAAAGTCCTTGGAGTTGATTTCTTCAGAGTTCAGTACCACAAAACTTATACACTTTAACAGGTTAACTGCACATCTGCCATTGTTTGAACAAACAGATAGCCACGCCCCCAAACTCATGTCATTGGTCGAGCTTCCGTTGTTAAACTGCAATATTTTGGTAGCACACATTTGTTATTGTTTGTGCAGTTTTAAGGAAAATCAACCTACAAATGACTTTTACAGTTGTCTCTGCATATTAAGCTGGAAATGGAAATTATAAGATGGTAAAATGACATGCTTCAGCTGTTTCCTCCTAACCTACTTTGTTTTTCACCAGGCTGCTAGTTATGTCTGTCCTGATGTGGTTCACCCAGCAGATGGAGTGCATGTTTCAAAGCACTGATCATGTTTTTTTCTTCTCAGTTATGAACTCATCTCTTTTTTTCCATCTATAAGCTTGGCAAGAATTGTCTATGATTGTAAAAAAGCTCTAGGTATAAAAGCACAACCACGTGACACTATAGAGAAATGACCCTATAAGATTTCAAAGTTTTGTGAGATTACAGTGCGTTTTTACCAGACAGATAAATATGTATTATATTGTCTACAAAACCCTTAAATTGAACGTCTGTATGAATGTGTAAACAGACATTTTCCCGCAGTTCCATTGTGATTTAATGCAATTACCATGGAGACAAACCCTCCTGCAAAACGATCATCACAGGAAGCAGAAACAGTCAGTCTTGGGTAGCAATGCGGCAAACATCTGCAGCACTGAGATGAATAAGTCATGCCAGTCATAATTTGTTTAAACTTTGTCAATAAGAGAGCCAAGTGCTCCAAATTATGTATCGCTGAGAACCTGAGATACATAATCATGACCATATGCACAATGTGGAAAATATCAAAGCATCAAAGCAATATCTTCTCTTCACCTGTCTCTGAGACAGTAAGAAAAAGAAACTCCAGACGATTACCTGGGTGACAATATTTCACATTAAATTTATAGACATAAATACAGAGATAGATAGATACGCACGTACATACCTACATACATACATAGATAGATAGATAGATAGATAGTCAATTTGATAGATAGATAGAGTGAGTGAGTGAGTCTATTTGACTGACGGATGGACAGATAGTGTGAGTATTGGACGGACGGATGGATAGATTGAGTCTGATGGACGGACAGACAGATAAGAGTGAGTCTATTGGACGGACAGATGGATGGATAGATAGATAGAGTGAGTCTATTTGAAGGACGGACGGACAGATAGAGTGAGTCTATTTGACAGACAGACCGAGTGAGTCTATTTGACGGACGGACGGATGGATGGATGGATAGAGTGAGTCTATTTGACAGACGGACAGATAGAGAGATAGAGTGAGTCTATTTGACGGACAGATAGATAGATATATAGATAGATAGATAGATAGATAGATAGAGTGAGTCTATTTGACGGACGGATGGATGGACGGATAGATAGAGTGAGTCTATTTGACGGACGGATAGATAGATAGAGTGAGTCTATTTGACGGACAGACAGATAGATAGAGTCTATTGGACGGACGGACAGATAGATAGATAGATAGATAGATAGATAGATAGATAGATAGAGTCTATTTGACGGATGGATAGATAGATAGGTAGAGTGAGTGAGTCTATTTGACGGACGGACGGACGGACGGACGGATAGATTGAGTGAGTGAGTGAGTGAGTCTATTTGATGGACGGCTAGATAGATAGATAGATAGATAGATAGAGTCTATTTGACGGACGGACGGATGGATGGATAGATAGTGAGTGAGTCTATTTGACGGACGGACGGACGGACGGACGACGGATGGATAGAGTGAGTGAGTGAGTCTATTTGACGGACAGATGGACGGATAGATAGATAGATAGAGTGAGTCTATTTGACGGACGGACGGATCGATAGACAGATTTGATTGATTTTGTTATTATAGCTTGCATGAATATTGATTGATTGAGTGATGCAGCTGATGATGGTGTTTCTCAGCATAGAATATCTAATAGACTGTTAGAATGCCACTATGTAATTTTGCTGCCTTAAAGCTGAAGTTGTTTACAGGTTGGGTTTATCCTTGGACAGACTTCATTAGTTTTGAAGTTTCATTTCAAGGTTTGGGCCGTAGGGAATCTTTCTAAGTTCTCTCTGTAAGTCTATATGTTGGTTATAACGACCCAAAGCAATGATCCCTGCTAAAAAACGTTTTCAGACACAATCTCTTAAGACGGCCACTTTTTGAGGTATGATCGCTTTAGAATTCGCTTGGCTTTACACCGAGGGCCTTAATGCTGATCCTAAAACCACATTTTAAATAATTTGGTCCGCTGCCAGCAGAGACATTTTTAACCAAATACACGTCCATGCCTGGGCCTGTCTATCCCAAGGAGGTCTATAATTCCTAATTTCATCAGGTTTTGTGACATTAATGACACAACGAGCTCCATCTGCTTCTTTGGCCCTTACACTATTTGGAAAAAACTACTCGTACTAATATTAGGCCTATCAGTCTGATAGATTTAGTGGATATGATATAGAACCATCATATTCTGATCAGCAGTCCTATGATGATTCTACCAATATAGCAAAAAAATGTAATAAACGTTATGCAAAAAAAAAAAAAAAAGGTTAGTACTCTCTGAAAAATAACTTCTGAGATGTCAGAAGGGGCTTTTATCCTGTCAATCGCAGCAGGCAGTCCATATATGGGAAGCGGAAGCTGAGAACGCGATAGATTAAATTTGTAGCATTCTGTGCAAAATTTTTGTCATTTCCCATCTATCAACACCAGCATATACAGACAAACATCCTAAAAGGAATAGGAAAAGGAAAAGAAGGAGACCAAAAAGCGACAGAAAAAAAAGCAAAATGAGAGTAAACTCTGGCAAAGCATTTGATTGCTGGAGGGAGTCAGTCAAGAGTTTCAAAGTGCATGAAAATGGATGCCAAGCTGGCTTTGCTTCTGCTTGAAAGGTAAAAATACCAAAGGTTAGAAAGGTCATGTTTAGTTCTGGTGGAAGTTCATTATTTACAGTACTTTAATAGAGATTATGTAATTTGGCAAATATGTTTGTGAGTAAGCAGTAATATTCAATTTAAGAAAAAATGCATAAATTGAGTTCAAGATATATTCTTAGGAAACAAGACTCGATGATTATGAAAATGATTTTGCACTGTAATTTGTGTAAATTCAGATATTATTTGGTCTTGTGGGACATATGTAAATATATGTAATGGAAATAGTTTAAACAGGGCAGTACTGTACACAAAGACACATGTTCACTTTAATTAAAAATGATCATAACACATTATGCAAAAAGTATACTTATGTAACTGCATATTATCATACAATCAATTAATACAGCATGCGATCAATTAATACAGACCTCAATGGCTTACTCAATTTTAATATATTTCATTGTGTTTTTTAACATGTAAAACAAGACCAAAATCTGATGATAAAAAAAAAAAGTAAATTCAGATATAATTTTGTCATGTGGAATTTATGTAAATATCTGTTATGTGACAGCTTAAACAGGGCAGTACTGTCCACAAAACACTTTTTTATATATGCTGTCGTATGCTGTCCTTGCTGTCAAGCATGATGTCCGCCTTAATGTGCAGCACGTGGCCTCCGCAAGTCCTGTCAAAATGAAAAGAAGAAGAAAGAAAGAGGCTAACTCGCTTCTCTGGATTTAGAAATACATTTTTCGTTTAATTAGGATTGTGTCACATATTTTTTATTATATTTTTATTGTTAGGTTTACAATTTTGTTTTCTCAAAAAGACATTTAATGCCTGGGGTTGGTTAAGTAATTAAAATGGTTGAACGCTTGAGTTTGAAGCAAGTTTATAGCTGAAAATACATTTTGTTCCATGGAAAATGGAAGCTCATGGTCCTCTGCTTTTCGTCCTCTTAGGCTCATAAATTGTTCAGTGGGTTTCGTAAATGAATAAATCAAGTATCCAGAGGTTCTGAATGAGTTGTCAGTAACACATGTGCATCTTTGTATTTCGGGATTTCATATTTTACCAACAGATTTCAGATGTTGTTATTTGACCTTCAAAGACATGCTGGTTATCAAATACATGTGGTACAACTTATGTAATAATTTTTGGTGTTATATCCACAATTCTTTCAAGCAGTGTGTTCCTTTGAGAGGAATGCAAGAGGATAAGAAGCTAAAACAGCCTAACATGGGTTGACTAGTGTAGTTTATAGAGCATACAGTATATAAAGCTATAGAGTGCTGCAGCCGTGACGTCAAAACCCGGAAGACTAATTCGCCACTGGTTTAATGGAGATTTTCCTATGGGATTTTATAATGTTTTTTTTTTCAATTCATGAGTAAAGTAAGGTCTGTGGTTAACATACATTGATGATACTTTGACATTTTTGTCTATAATCTGCACACACTCATGCCCCCAAATTTTCATTTCATTTCTTTTTTTTTTTTTTTTTTTTTTTTTTAAATAAACATTTCTGCTGAAGAATTTGCATTTTCAGTATGGGTGTGTGTAATTCAATAGAGCAAAATGTGAAAGTGCTGTCAAGTTATTTTTTACCAAAGACCCCATTATAAAAACCCATAGGAAAATTTCGAGGGAACCCATGGTGAATT